GCCCTTGTTTGCTCTGTTCTGAATAAAGCTTGGCTGTTTCTGCCCACGCTGTCTCCCTGAGCATTTTCTGGTCTCACAACAATCGTTTCATTCATTGATAGTTAAAAGTGTTTCACTAAAATAATTGTACCCCTCCTCCCCCCGGTGGCAGCTGTCAAAATAAAATCTTTTTGATTTAAACCCCACCACTACTTACCAGCAGAATCATGTCATCTAAAGGTTATTAAAAATGTCAAAGGTTTCCAGTGCGTCATTCTACAGAGATTGAGTTTCTTATACAAGGTGTAGCATCTATGTGCTTGGTCTCTTGTGAAAGGAGTTTGCTGGTTGAGTCTGTAACTGAAAACTACATTAATAATGACTAAAGAGGTTCATTTCAAGAAAATGCCCAACAATTCGGGATTCATTATCCAAGTTATTCTGCTTAGTTAACACATAGGACATCTAGATAATGTAATTTATCCAAACCTAAACATTAAAGCAGTAATTACTAAGCCACTCCCAATAAGTATTGGCAGTGCAACATTAGGACTAATTATACTCACCATTCTAGCAGTAATTTAACACCGCATGCATGAATATTTCCCCTTAAATTAACATATAACATTAGTAAACTGGAGTAAATGTTGGGGCCATCTAATATTATTATGAACTACATGATGGCTACTATAGATGTGACTTTTATGACAGAATTTGGCAACTCTGTTCATTCTTCATAAGCTTCCAGTTCACTTATCTCCCCCCTCATTTTCTTCTGTTTCATTCACTGTTTTTGCTGTGTAATTCCTTGCTTCACCTTTAAGAACTTCACATAGAAGTTACATATCCCATTCCCCTTCTGCAGCCTTTGCGTTTCTGTGAATGTCGCTGCCACTCTCCAGTTGCTGCCTGGTGCTAAGTTTAGCCAGCCTATGAGGAGTCACAATATGCTGATATGTAGAAGACGTGTATGACAAGGAGGGTGCCACAGAGACACGCAGACCCCCTTCTCCCCTTCACTGCAAGGTAAATGCATGCTGAAAAGGCAATCTTGATTGTCTTCTAATCCAATGTTTGTCTTTTGTGAGTGTCAACAGTTAATATTTGTCTCACATAAGTTATCCCTTTGTGCCTTGTGCAATCAGCTAATTAATAATGATAGGACAACCCCAGGTGGGCCCACCACCCGCAAGGGGAATGTCAGGGGTTC